CTCAAACGTTTCGCCGGCATCGCAGTCGGCATCATCATTTAGTTTTGCAATTCTCCGCACCAAGCTACGAACTCGTCAAAGAGACAATTAAATTCCCAAACGTTTGTCTCTTTGACGAGTTCGTAGCTTGGTGCGGGGTATGACAAAACTCACTGATGTTGCCGATTACGATGCCGGCGAAACGTTTGAGGATGCATCAAGTCCAGTGTCAGATGCTGGGAATCATGGCAACTACTATGGCAGACGACTTCGGACTAAGTGCATTCTACTAAGTCTCCATGACAACAAGACCAAGTTGCGACAACGAGGTCAACCAACTTCTATAGTATTTTCTGTATATTTTTCTACATTTATTCTTCGTATAAGCAAAGAGATAAGATAATATTAAACCAAAGGATTCCTATCCTTTATTCAATTACCCTTTGCAAAAGCTTACTAATCTAAGCCAATTAAATATTAATTAATTTCAATATTTGTTTAAGACATAAGGATTATTCAGTAAAATATTTGATAACCAATCCCTATTTATCATCCTAAACGAAATAAGAATAAATCTCACAATAAAAAATTACTTCGCTCTATAAATCTTTCATTAGAGTTTACTGTATATTTAAAAAAATTGATCATAATTTTATTTTACTCATTTTATAAATTAGGCTTGTCTAAAAGTTTGTAAGAGCATTTTTAATTCACCTATCTAATAAGCCTTCAAGATGAATATTTATAAATACCTTTGAAAGAGAATAATATGATATTAAATATGTAGCGTAATATTTTTTGTTGACAACACTATATCATTTCTGTAGGATCATTATCTAGCTATCTATGAAACCTTCCATATGAACCATTCTTATCCGTTTATATTTATACTCATGACTAGCTATTTAATACAATAAGGTTGTTAACTAATTCATCACATAGTGCATTCAAATGAATTAGAATAATATTGTATCTTATAAGTGGTAAAGGGCTTCTACGTAATATATGCAGCTTGGTATCTAGATAATATGATTGATTTTTTTTGTTTCCGATCAGCAAACAATTTAAAACTAATATATTAAAATATATTCACAAGTATTTTACAATACATTTCGAATTATCAATCTGGTCAGTGAGGGACTGGAAGGCTGTCTAACTCTAGATCTCAGAGCAATTCAAATTGACCTAAAGCAATTTGATAATATTTATAAGGGCATGTTATTATTGCA